TTCTGGAGATGCCATATTGCTTTGGCTTTTGTTGGTTGCACTTTTATGCTAGCCTCTACCCATCTGGCTGTCTCAGGTGTTGGCTGTTAGTTTCTGGTGCCAGCTGGAATCCTGGGATGAGGGGAATCCCCTTGGCAAGAAGACGGTTGTTCCTGAAGGAGGCCTTTGCAGGCTTTTGAGTATGGTCACCAATTGGCCGCTGCTTCTCAGGAATTGACAAAGCTCACCTCAGGCATATGGATCAGTGCGGTAACAGCGGTCGTTGTTAGTCAGGGAAGTTCTCTCCTCCCCAGGAGAAGTCCTGGAGACAGCTGCCCTGGTGTTGGCTTTCTTCTCTGAATTTAGTGAAATGCTGCTGCTGCTCTTACACTGTGTTTTCTGGGCACAGCCTTCTTGAAGAACCAAAGATTCCTGCAATTTGGTCAGCTTGGCTAGGGAGACTGGTTGCACCTTGGTGTAGAACCGGGGAGCTGATCCCGTGGATCCCAGGCTTCAGTAGGTCTGAGGTTGGAGTTCTGTGCCCCAGTACCCAACGATAATCAGTGGCAGGTTAGTACATGCCTCATGTCTAAGGCTGGAGACTAGAGCCTGGATCCTGTGGGAACTCAGAAACTTTCTGGAGTCAGGTGTTCTGAGGTTGGACGGGATGTTTCTCCACAGTGGGGTTTGCTTCCAACAGTCAAGTCTCTGGGCTGGTGGCTGAATACTTTTTGCAACCTGAGAACTCTTCCAAGTATTAGCTGGGTGATCTGAGACAGGACAGATCTGATTGCTTCCCACACTGTGAAGTTTCCTCTCACCTGAGTAACACAGTCGCTGGTATTTTAGGGCCCAAAGTTCAGTCTGTTGGTCTCTGTGCAGTCACTGCTGTCCTGCTCCTCAGGCACAGTGTTCTACTGGTGCCACCATCTTGGATCCAAGTGACAACACATACTGGAGAGGATGTCAACAAAAGGGAACCCTCCTGCATTGCTGCTGGGAATGTAAACTTTGGAAATCAATCTGGCACTTTCTCAGACAATTAGGAATAGTGCTACCTCAAGTTTCAGCTATACTACTCCTACGCATATATCCTATGTATGCTCAAGTATACAACAAAGACATTTGTTCAACTATGTTCACAGCAGCTTTATTTGTAATAGCCAGAATCTGAAAACAGTCCAGATATCCCTTAATTGAGGAATGGATACAGAAATTGTGATACATTTACACAATGGAATACTACTCAGCAATTAAAATGATGAAATTTGCAGGCAAATGGTAGGAACTAGAAAAGATCATTCTAAGTGAGGTATCCCAGAAGCAGAAAGACACACAGGGTATATACTCACTCATAAGTGGATATTAGTCATATAGCATAGGATAAACATACTAAAACCTGTAAACCTTAAGAAGCTAAGTAATAAGGAGAACCCTGGGTAAGATGCTCAAACCTCATTCAGAAAGGCAAATGGGATAGTCATCAGAAGAGGGAGAAAACAGGTAACAGGACTAGAGCCTGCCACAGAGGTCCTCTGAAAGACTTTACCTAGCAGGTACTGAGACTCATAGCCAGACTTTTAGCAGAGTGCAGGGAATTATATGGAAGAAGGGGGAGATAGAAAGGCCTGGAGGGGACCGGAGTTCCACAAGAAGAGCAACAGAACTAAAAAATCTGAGCCCAGGGTTCTTTGCTGAGACTAATACTCCAACCAAGGTCCATTTATGGAGATAACCTAGAATCCCTGCACAGATGTGCCCATGCCAGTTCAGTCTCGAAATGGGCTCCCTAGTAAGGGGGAAAAAAGGAGTGTCTCTGACATGAACTCATGGGCTGGCTCTTTGATCACCTCCCCTGAAGAGGGTGCAGCCTTACCAGGCCACAGCGGAAGATAATGCAGAGAGTCCTGATGAGACCTGATAGGATAGGGTAAGATGGAAGGGCAATAGGACCCCCCCCATCAGTGGACTGGGGAAGGGTCATGGGAGTAGAAGAGGGAGGAAGGTCGGGATTGAGAAAGGACAAGGGAGGGGGCTACAGCTGGGATACAAAAATAAATCAATTGTAATAAATAAATAAAATGTGAAAAATGAATTACTATCTCCTTATCCTTGACCTCACAGTATCTTGTCCCTCATTGTTTCTCACACCCTAACCCTAAGTTTCCATTGCAAATTATCTTTCAAAACCTTTTTAAAAAGCATAAGTTTGCAAACATACAGATGCGTATCTAAGCAGAACTTTGGAAATATTTTGTTAAAAAACAAATATACAACATTGTCATAGGACTTTTAATTTTTCATAAACCAATAGTCATGCCTCAATACTTTATGCAAGTTTATATGTGATCATATTATATCATATAATATAAGTAATTATGTTGCAAGCATTGCAAGCTTTCTTCTGCTACCTCCTTCTGAATGACTCCAATTTTCCCTTATTCATTGTCTCAACCTCCATTCACTCCTTCTCTTTGCAACCTAGAGTACTTGCAGAGGTTCTCCTCACTCCTTAGTCATGGAGTTTGGTTTCTACTCTTAGACCCCACTGAGTGTGCTTGAATATTCAAAGCAAATGCTAGGTTTAATGGACATTGTTCAGCTGCCTCAAATTCTGTAAACTTTTGATTCTTTTTCTGTTCACACTGTTATGTACTTATTGCCTGCTAGGTTCCTAACTCAGGTTGATTTTGCCCTCTAGTGGACATGTGGCTATATCCACAGGCAATTTTTTTTGCCACAATGGAAAGGATGGAAAATGGGTCACACAGAGAAGTAGAGACTAGAAATTCTCCTAAACTCCCTAGAATGAGAAAAAAAAAAAAAAAAACAACTTTAATCCACAACAAAGATTTATTTCATATTCATATGTCAAGTACACTGAGATAAGGAAACACTGTAGCAACAGGGAGATTAAAAAAAAAAAAAGCTCAAAATGTGTTTGGAGAATTGCAGGCTGGGAATCTGGCCCTAATCCTGATGATGACTGTACCCTCATGAATAACAGACAACCTAAAATCACATCTCTGATCATGTAGGTGTTTCATAGCCACAAAAGCTTCTCCTTCTCTAGGTCTGTAGTGCCTAGATGACATCCAGGACTCTTCTAGTTGTTCCCCAGTCTGGTCTAGGTGCAGTCTGTCCTCCTCTTTCCACTTGTGGATTAAAGGAACACATAATTATTTTCAACATATCGTATAGCCACAAAAGAGGAAGGAGAATACCAACTTCCTACCCACTCTTTACTCCTCTGACTCCCACTTTCCTCCACAATTTCTCTCCCACAGAATTAGGGTTCTGTTCCACTTTATATTTCTGAATACACTGAGAGCTTTTGCAATCCACATTCTCCTCCATTTGTCATGATGCTGAGATTGAGGAGAGAATCCTGCAAGATAGCACTATGTTTTGGTCCATGCAAACTGTACTCCCCTTTGTGCACTATCAGTTCTGAGTCACCTTGGAGCAGTTGCCTGAGTTTTCTGTTCAGATCTCTCTCTCTCTCTCTCTCTCTCTCTCTCTCTCTCTCTCTCTCTATCAGTTCTGACTCACTTTGGAGCAGTTGCCTGAGTTTTCTGTTCAGATCTCCCCCCCCCTCTCGTTCTGTCCACTGGGAACTAGGGAAGCTTTCTGTTAATAGGCTTTTATAATAACAGAAGTTCTTGCTTGTACCTGCTGCTGGCAACCCCTTTAGTCTTTCAGAATTCTCATAGGGGTGGAAAATCTCTGCCATCTTAACTTGAAGCAAACATAAACCTGAGGTTAATCCATTCCGGGTCTCATTTGATGATTTCATTTCATTACTCACTCAGAATGCAAGCCAATTCACTCCTGAGAACAACCACCCTAGGGTTGACCCATTTTGGTAATAGAATACTCCTAGAACATAAGCATCATATGCAGTTCATTCCTGGTGACTTGAAATAAAGGAATTCTTACTGCTTACTAACAGCTAATTCACCTTCCTGTCAATTCCAGTAGTTTCTTTGGTAAAGGTTTTAAACTACTTTTCCGAACCAGGATGGTAATACAGACCTACAATCTCACTACTTGGGAAGTAGAGTCAAGAGGATACCTAGTTCAAGATCATTATCAGCTATATAGTGAATTTGAGGCTGTCTTGCGCTACACAAGACCTTGCTTCAAAAAATGGGGGTGGGAGGCAGAAAAGGAAGAGAAAACATATTGCTATTTTTGTGCCAGCCTAACATGGGAATAATGGTCTAGTTGCACCAAAACAGTAACTCATTTGTTAGCCTATTATAATAAAAATGGATCTTTGTGTAGCATAATTTCAAAGAAAAAAGAAGTAACTAGTTTCTCTGGAGTGACTTGATCAACTCCCCTATTCCTTTTTCTATTTGTCAGCTCCAGGAGTCTCTTGCTACTATCCCTCTAAAACTGCTAGGTTCTGTCTCCCACCTTAGCCAGGACCAGGCATGGGCTGTAGCCTCCACTATTACTCATTGGTTATCACCCTGGACCCAACTTCTAGTTATCCACTGACTCTTTACCCAATATTGTTCTGACAATTTAACCTATACCTCTTCAGATACTCCACTCTGATAATCAGTTTGCATCTCTCTGGCTCCATCATTTGAGGGCTAAGTGTGTGGAGAGGGAAGGATTTTGTATATTCAGCTGTGTAGATCCACAAGACACTATGGAGGGCATACACATGTACATACCCCAAACACACTCACACATGCTCACAAAAACACACACAGGCATGCACACACAGACAAACACACACACACACACACACACACACACACACACACACACACACACACTGAAGTCATTTTGAGGTTGTTAATACTAATAACCTGGAATATAACAAAAATATTCAATACTTCTGCTTCCCCAAACCATCTATACCATCCCACTATCTCACACCAAGATTTATCCCATTCTCTTGACCCCCTTACTCTTTCCAAAATTCTACCCATACCCTTCACCTCCCCTCCCCCAAACGGATTTTCCATTGGTTTGTTTCCAGTTTATTTTACACTCCAATTGCACTAAGGGTTTTGCAGCCAGATTCCCTTCCCACAGTGGAAGCAGTATTCCCTCCTTGAAAAATTCACAGCTTTACACCAAGGACAGTCCCAATCCCCGGGTCTGCGAAATGCTGGAAATCTCTTGTCTTTCTGTACTTCTTGATGATCTCCTCTGTGGATTCCCGTATCAGACAGATGACCTGTATCAGAGGCATGCATTTGAACTGGTCTTTCTGTGGTTGGTGGTTGGGATGGGGTGGGTGTAACTAGGAAGGGGCTTTCATAGGAGTATGTGAATGAGGCAGGGAGTTGGACAGTAAATGGTTCGGAGGCTGTGGATCTCAGATTTTGGGACTGGGACAAAGGACTAGAGGATGTTTCCTTGGGCTTGAGATCTCCTACTCTCTGCCTTTTCAAGGGATAATTTTTCCACTTCATGACTCCAAGAAGCTGCATTAAACTTCCATTGGGTTCCTCTGAGGCTTCTTCGGGAGGAGTTATTGTATCTGCCACGACAGCTGATGTCATATTTGCGCTCTCTTCTCTTTTTCCTGTAGCAGCAGCCATTAACTCTGCCAAATCTTCTTTTGCACCTGACCATTGTGTCTCTGTCTCTGCTCTTCTGACAACAGCAGAAGGAATGGCCACAGCTGGCTTTGCTGCAGTTGGAAGAGCCTTCAGCTCCTGGGGAGAAGTGGATAGGGTTGAGACTTGTTTGGGGAATGGGGTACTCACATAGGGGTGGGACAGGCAGGGATAAGACAGGACCAGGTGACAATCTTACTGCCTGGAGAATCTTCAGTCTCAGTAGGTCTCGTTCTCTCTGCACCTCCTCCAGTTTGGCCTGGACCAGTTGAAGCTGGATAGCCACCTCCTTCTGCTCCATCTCTTGCTGGTGGTTGATCTGCTTCAGGTCTGATGACAAGGAGATTGGAGCCACTTTATGCATTCTAGACATGTTTTGCAGCCACTGCACGCCATGCCCCTGTAAGCAGCCTTGCCTGTGAGCGAAGCGCACACCTAAGGCCAGGGTACCCCAGGCACAGGCTTCACGAGCTTCACTAGGTACTTCACTATCCTCCAGGATGACTTTGAGCTTGTCTTCCACCTCTTCCCAGGACAGGGACAGGTTCTCAAGGTAGAAATCAAGACCTTTATCGTGCTTGGCTATTTGCTCATTGATGAACATTGATACCTTGCTATGCCGGAACCCACTACCGAGATCTTCTGGATTCAAGGCCATGATGGCAGAGTGCTCTATTGGATTTGCTGGCCCTGGGAGATAAAATCAACCTGTAATCTGTGCTCCTTTAGTCCCTTGTGTTAGTACCTCTCCTCTCCTTCACTGTCTATTAGCCCTTTGTTCTTCCCGGCTCTCCCCTCCCCACCCATCCCCTCCCCTTCCCTCCCCTCTGGTCTTCTGGTACCCTTTCTTTCTTCTCTTCCTTCCCCTCCCACACCAGGCTCTCCAGCTCCGCCCCTCAACTATTCCATCATAATGCAGTTCCTTAAGAGACTTCATGGCTGACCTCACCTTTCCTGTCAGTGACCAAAGGAGGTCCAGGTCCACTACACATGTCTACTTGACATAGGGTCTATCTAACAACTCTGAAAAAGTCTGTCTACCATGCTACAAGAAAGCACAACCTCATCATTCTGTCTCTCCAATGCCTTAAAAAAAGGAAATATCCAGACCAACACTCTTGGGTTTTGATCTAGTACTATACCAACTTCCAGAATGTGAAAGTAGTAAGGAGAGCTAGAAGAAGATACCTACACCAATTTGGAAGTAAAGGAAACTTTCACAAAGATGGAAATCATCTGGGAGGAAGGGGAGAGAAAAGACTTGAAGCAATAGGAAATGATACTCTCCAAAGGAGGATTTAAAAGCCACACACTTTCCTTGCTAAAAGCTTATCCCATGAAAAGGACTGATGTGCCCCGTCCTGAAGGTATAATCTTCACAAAATGTCTTAAAGAGCTTCATTACCAAATTATTCTTTAAAAAAAAAAATCACGACTTCCTAATTAGAAGAGAAAAAAAATAGGCAAATTAAAGTTTATTTCAATAAATTATAATTCACAAGTTCAGCAATATTAAAAACCAGAAAAAAATTTCAGAGCACTCTAGCCTTCAGAAGGAACAGTGGGATAGATAAACTAAGCCTAAAAGGAGAGAAATCACCTGATTAGTTTTAGCTAGGCATTTGACATACAGTTGGATCACTTGGCTTCCTGGGGTTAGCTGAAAACCATTTAATTGAGACTGGTAGAAATTCAGCTGTTTCTAACATTTGTAAATTGAGGTTTGTTTATGCATTGAATTTGGTTGTGGTAAGATAGGAAATATTTGGAGAGGACTTCGGAGTGACCATTAGTTTATTTAACTTATTTGTCATTTTATTTTAATTTGAGGTGGGTTTTTCATTTAAAATAATTAACAGGCATTTTGAAGCCATTTTACATTTTTAGAAAATATAAGCAGAAACAATTTTTTCTTTCTACTTTGTTCTCAACATTCATATTAGTTTTACTTGTTAAAATTACTGAGCTAGTTTAAAAATTATTAATTAAAGCTCAAATGAAAGTTTACTCTTAGAGTAGTATAATCTGTAGGATTTGAAAAATGTACCATGTGTATCCACTATTTTATCCTTCAATCATCCATTACCCCACTCTATTTCCTTTACCTCTGTACTTTGGCAGCCACTTATCATTTTCATTAGTTCAATAATTTTATCTTTCACAAGAAAATATGTATTTGGAATCATGAGATATATAGCATTTTCAGATTGGTTTCATTTAATAATGTTGGTATGTTTTATTCATACGCATTGATTGATATCATATTGGGATTCATAAAGACAATTTCATCCTTGTTATAATGTGTTATGAGCATATTTTACCCTACACACCTTTCTTCTCCTCTTTTTACACTCATGCTAGTCTCTTTGCTGTTTATGTGTGTCTATACATCTGTAAAAATTTAGTATTCAAAAATGAGAGAAAACACATTATGCCTTCTAGAGATCTAATATGATCAGTTTTCTACCACACAAACAATTTTATTCATTTTCTGGCTGAGTAATGCTTCACTGTGTATGCACTAATATTATGACTAACTTTTTTTAGATTATAAAAAATTAAATTGTAAAAAAGTTCCTCCCTTTCCTCCCTCCAAATACCTCTCCTTGCTCTCTTTCAAAGTCAGAGCCTCTTCTTTTCATTAAATGATGTATATGCATATATATTCTTAAATATAGCCTGCTTAGTCCAAATAATGGCACTGTGTTCAGGGCTGACATTTGATATTGCATAATCAATTGTGCTTTTCCTGGAAAAGATGGTTTTCCCTCTCTCAGCTGTAGTTGTTTTTTGGTTTTATTTTTATTTATTTATTTATTTATTTATTTATTTATTTATTTATTTATCTATTTATTTATTTGTGTGTGTGTGTGTGTGTGTGTGTGTGTGGTTTGTTTTTATTTTTATTTTTCAAAACAGGGTTATGTAGCTCTGGCTGTCCTGGACTTGCTTTGTATATCAGGCTGGCCTCAAACTCAGAGATCTGCCTGCCTCTGCCTCCCTGACTGCTGGGATTATAGGCATGTGGCACCATAATCAGCTGAAACATGGAATCTTAAATAACTTTTAATTGACATTACCCTGACAGCTGAGTATATTCAACACATCCCTTGATAATTATTGGCCATTTGCATTTATTCTCTTGAGACTTTACTATTCAATTTAGTTTATTTATTGACTATTGTTTCTCTTGTTTAATTTTTTGTTTTAGAGATTAATCTCTTATATGATACATCATTTTTATGTATCTTCCATTCATGAAAATTCCTCCTCATTCTCCTGTTTCCTTTGCTGTTCAGACGCTTTCTAACTTCATATAATTCCATGTTTTCAGTTCTTGCTATTATTTATTGTATTGTTGGATTCCTATTCAAAGGTTACTGCTTATGCCTCTTATGCATCAAAATGTTTCTCTCTAGCAGTTTTGCCATTTTGGGTATTACATGAAGGTCTTTTATCCATTTTAAATTTATTTTTTTACATTATTAAAAATTGGAATCTCTTTTCATTCATTTACATGTAGATATCCAGTTTTCCTAGTGCTGTTTGTTGAAAAGGCTTTTAGTCACTATGTCTTGACACATTTGTAAGTAATTAGGTGGCTGAGGCTGAGTACATTTTATTTTGGTCTTCTTTTTTTTTCTATTCTATTTATATACAAGTGTGCTTTTGTCCCAGCAACATATAAGCTTTACCGCTATGGCTTTTTAGTATAATTTGAGGCCTATTGCAGTACTCTAGTATTATTCTTTCTGCATTGATTGCTTTGGCCATTTGGAATATTTTATGCTTTTTTATATACTTTAGGTTATTATTATTTTATTAGTTCCATGAAGAAAACATTGGGAATTATGAGAATGACTTTGTTGAATCTGCATGTCATATTGGATAAGACAGCCAAAGATATGTATTACTAAGTAAATAGTCAGATAGAGGAAGACATTTTGAACTAAACGTGAAATAAATGGTCACTTTTCAAATCATATATGGGATTCAGATGGATGGAGGTGGACACAAGTCACTGGCTTTGTCTAATAAGATAGTCATACTAATTCTAATGGTAGTCAGTAGAAACCTAGGGCTGCTAGGGCAGAAATCACATAATGGCAGGCAAATAAAAATGTTGAATATTTATAAGTCTTTCAATACCTTCCACAATTATGAGCAGACAGAGATCAAATATAAGATTGTGGAGGTAGAATAATTTAGTTACTGAGTCAGCTTTCATTTTATTAATAACTTTTTAGAATTTATATATTTATATATTTATTATAGTTTATTCACTTTGTATCCCAGCTCCCTCATCCCCTCCCAATCCCACCTTCCCTACCTCTTCTTCTCCTAGGCCCCTCCCCTAACTTTTAAATATGTGTATGGTGTCTAATTATAAAAATAAGTGTGTAAATATTTTAGTTTTAATTTGGAGAGTACACACACATGTATATATGTACACATAAATATTCTTGGGAGCAACCAAATGGTCTTGCATATACTAAGCAAGTGCTATATCACCTAGCTATGTCCATTGTCCAATAGTCAATGATATTTTATTATATTTAGGCTAAAATTGTATATTTAGCAAGTAGTATATGCACAAACACATTCACTATATCTTGATCTTATATGTGTTTTATCAACAGTAACAGAAAATATACAAAATCTATTTATATAGTTTACAGCTTGGCAAATATAGTAGTAGTGGCTAAAGGAGTTCATTTGTATTGAACATCTAAAAGTACCTCACATATTTTTGTATGTGTTCTAAAAAATGGTATCCTTTGTTCTGGATTTTCTTTTCACAGGTATGTATATAGAGGTACTGTAGGGATGGCTTAACAATTAAGAAGATTTGATGCTCTTCCAGAGAACCTGAGTTCAGTCCCCAGCACCCACAATGGGTATCTCACAGCCACCTGCAACTCCAGCTCTAGAAAAAAAGTGTCCTCTTTTATCTTCCACGAGCATTCCTAACATGCATAAAAATATTATTTTTAAAACATACTCTTCTATCATACATTACATCCCCATCCATTACTTTTCCATTTCCCTTCAGAAAAAAGCAGGTCTCCCAGGGATATCAACCAAACATGGCATATCAAGTTGAAATTAGACTAGGCATCTCCCCTCATATTAAAGCTGGACAAGACAACCCAGTATGAGGAAAAGGGTCCCGAAAGCAGGCAAGAGCTCCTTTTCCCACTGTTAGGATTCACATAAGAATACCAAGCTATACAACTGCAACATATATGCAGAGGACCTAGTCAAACCCATGAAAGCTTCTTGGTTGTAAGCTCAAGATCTTTGAGGAGTTGTGAGCCCATATTAATTGTTTCTGTGGGTTTTCTTGTGGTGCCCTGACCCCTCTGGCTCCTTCCTTTCTCCACATCTTCTGCAGGATTCCTCAAGCTCTGCTGAATGCTTGGCTGTGGATACCTGCATTGGTTTCCATCAGTTGTTAGATGAAGTCTTTCTGATAACAACTGAGATAAGGACACATCTATCAGTATAGCAGAATATCATTAAGAATAATTTTATTAATTTTTATTGTTTGTTTGTGTGCTGATCATGGTGGTTCTATCCTAGATCTCTAGGCTATCCTGTCTTAGATTCCTAGCCATCCAGGCAGTGACAAGGGTGGGCTTCCTCTTATGTCATGAG